GGAGAGAGGAGAAAGAGAGAGGAGGAGAGAGGGGAGGGGAGAGGATAGGTGAGAGGGGAGAGGAGAGAGGAGAGAGGAGGAGAGAGAGGGGAAAGAGGAGAAGGAGAGAGGAGAGAGGGGAGGGGAGAGAGGAGAGAGGAGACACAGGAGAGGCGAATGGGGGAGTAGAAAGGGAGAAGAAGAGCCAGCGACAAAAACAATCCAGAACATGGAAAAAAAATTAATGTCCTTCTCTGGAGCGCCTTTCAAACCGAGAGCCTGCGCCCAGCGGCAGCTCCCGCCTGCAGCAGACCTGGGGGCGCAGTGACCCCGGGGCTTATCCAGCCACCGCGGAGGAGTGACCACGCTGTCCTGACGGCAGCTGCCCTTCGGAATGACTGCTCCCGGCACGCAAACTCAAACCGCCTCAGGACCTCCCTGCTCCTGCAGGCCGGGGCCACGTCAACACGCTGACCGCTGCCGCCAGGGCCGATTCTGGTGCTCGTAGGCCGAAATGTGCAAATACAGGGGTAAACGCCAACTGAAATCCATCGAAGGCCATGATGCAGTTTGAACTATTCTCATGCTAAACCACCTGGTTGATGGATCAAGTTTCTAGAACAGCCGCTAGAGAGTGTAGGATTATTGATTTGGAGCTCCTAGAGTCGATCGCAAGCGTGTTGTTTCAGCTCGTTTTTCATGAGTCACTGGTGTTTCCCTCCTTCGTAGGCCCTAAAGATTTCGTAGGCCCTGTGCCTGCAGAGACTAAAGGGAAATCCGGCACTGGTCCGTCCGCCCTGGAGGAGCCCTGGGCAGTTCCCAGTTCCCAGTTCCCAGTTCCCAGTTCCCAGTTCCCAGTTCCCAGTTCCCAGTTCCCAGTTCCCCTGTCTGTCGGCAGGCACAGAGGGGAGTGGCCCCAGGTCACTCCGCCCCACAGTTCCTGTCCGACTCCCTCCTGCAGCAGAGGGCCCCTCTGTGAAGTCGGGGTGGACTCGAGGACCACGCTGCCCGAGCACACACCCACCTCAGAGGACGAACCCGGACAGATCTGCACCGCAGTACAGCGTGGTAAATAGAGAGCCCGGCGTGAGGGACCCCTGGCCCACGACGGGTCCCCTGCGTCACTCACGACTTTCGAAACGACAGGGAGCAGGTTCCTCTCCAGAGCCAAGACACAGAGAAATCAAACACAGGCATGCAGACACACACACAGTGCAAATCTGAGCAACATTCATTAATTCGTTCATCGATAAGTGAATGAATTAATCAAGGGTGAGAATTACGGAGGCAGAGAGAGAGACAGCCCACACCACTACACTACACGACCACAGCCAGCACTACAGCATGCACTACAGGCCAGAGACACCGGACAGTGCACTGATTCGGGGGGAGGGGGGAGAGGAGGGGGCGGGCTTGCATTCAGGATTGCAGGGATTGGATAGCCAGGGAGCCCGGGGACTCCACCCTCTCCATGCTGGACCAATCACAGGGAAGGCCACGTCGGCGGGCGGGGTCGGGGAGGCTGCCAGGGGGAGGGGGTATAAAGGACGAGCCAATCAGCAGCAAGAGATCGATCTGATGGGATAATGTCACGTGGAGGCAGTGGTGATGTCACAGGGGTTTGGAGACCGACGGCTTCCTGTCTTGTCGCTGGTCGGCTCGTGGAGGCAGGAACCCCAGACAGGATTCGTTCTCCTTGCCAGCGACAGGACAGTGTCCCCCTCCCCCGAGTCTTTCTCTGCCTTTAGCAGCGGCGTGACGCCCGCCTCTGCCCCGCAGCAGGAGGAAGGCCCTGGCTGTGCGAGGAGGAGGAGGAAGTGTGCTGAACGCCCGTGACATCACCCCCTGCTGCCGCCCCCTGGCAGCGCCCGCGCAGGGAGGGGTGCTGGGGTGCTGGGGCCCTGGGGCCGGGTGTGTCTACCTAGCAGCGCTGCGGCCTGGCTCCGTCCCCCGAAGCTGCGGCTGAAGGAGCTGTGCCTACTTGCGTACGAGGCGGGCCGGCTGGGCAGCCAGGGCAGCAGGAAGGCCGGGATGTCTGAGTGCAGGCGCTCCTCCAGCGTGAAGGCCACCTCGAACCACTTCCTCTGGAACAGCGCAAAGTCCTCCAGCGCCGCCGTGTACCAGGCCGAGGGCTGGGCCTGCAGCCCGGC